AATTGAGGATTTTAATCTGTCACATTAAAATCTCCAATTCTGCATCTAACAAAGTTAACAAAGTATATCATCTAACAAAGTATATTTCCCTATTTATTGCTCCCAATTCCATGGATGAAATACTCTCCCATGAAATCAAATGTGATTTTCCTAATGCTGTAGAAATCATAGCCCTTTCAGAATATATGTTTCTTAACATATTTTAATGTTTCAATTGGCCAGATCAAAAAGTAAATGAAGATCGGAGTTCAAATCATCACAAATTATTGACATTTAAAACCATATAAAACAAAATCAATTCTTCACAAAATCATATATCTAAGTAGGGAGAAGGACAAAGAAGACTACTCAGAATTTATGAGAAGGATATGATAAAACACGGATTTCACATATAAAAATAAGTTTACAAAACAAAATAAATAAAAGACATAACTTATCTCACATTCCTTCCCAAACAAACTCCTAGAAGTTATCTCCAAGTCTTTCTCTCTTTACAGACACTCTCAATTCTATCTTAGAATTGTAATGAAGAAAAAATCTCTAACCTTCCCTCTCCTCTTACAATCCTTGAAGAAAACCTCCAAGCCCTTGAATTTCTCACACTCTCTCTCTCTAACTCTCATTCTTCACGCCACACACCTCATGCCCAAAACTCCTGCCCCCCTCTCTCTCCTTCAAGCCCTAGACTTCCTTCTCTTTTATTAAAAGCTACCTTCCATCAAAACGAATTCAAAATTCTCTCCAAAATTCTATCCAAAAGTCAACTTTTTTTAATTCAAAAGATATGTCTATTGATCTAAGAGACACATCCCTTCATAAAAGAACCTTCCAAAGTGTCTAGATGCATCGAATCACTCCAAGGGGTGTTTAGAACAAGTGTCTTTTTGAAAATTTGTGCAAAATTCGTCTCGAACCGCCTTAATCCGCAAAAGTCATCCCTGAAGCATCTTGCACCAAATCTGGTGCAACATGCGCCAACTCTCTATCAAATGGCGCATCTGGCGCCAATTGGCGCATCATGGGCCAATTTGCTGAAGGCCACGTTGTTGTGGGTTTTGGCGCATATGGTGACGAACCGGCGCATCTAGCACAAATCTGGGGCATCATGCGCCAGAATTCGAAACTTCACTATTTTGACTCCAAATTTCGTTATGTTTGCTACTTTCGCTCCAAATACCTAAAATTAATATACTTGAAACAAAAATATGAAAATACCTTTCTTTAAAGTGTAATATCACCAAAAATAAACATAAAATATATACTTAAAACAATATATTATTTTGGTGTATCACTAGCTTACTCTCATAGTACTAGATCATAACCTATTTTACCATCCTAAGTGATCTGTTTATCAGTAAATTATATGTACAAGGTTTAACTATCAATTTAAATACAATTTAAAATTTGTTGTAAAATTAAATTTTAAGAAAGTTCAAACAACCTCACTGATATTCTCCATTGATTAACAAGAATGTATAGTGAAATCACTGAGTTATACACAATTTAGAGTACTTTTTTAGATCCTTTCATTGAAATGCTCTGACTGCTTTTGAGTATTCTCCTTCTCTGTGTCATTTGTGTTCACTCCACTATCCATTATCCTCTTATGGCTTTGTCACTCAAAATTATTTGTATACATCTTATATATATATATATATATATATATATATACACACACACACACACACAGTATACATCTTATATATATATATATATATATATATATATATATATTGGGGGAGAAATGCCATTAATTGAGGCATTCGAAGCAAAATCGCATGATTTCAAGTTCCCATAAGCCATATCTGGTACCTAGAAGCCCATATTTTGCACTATTTTCCTATTATTGGGTGCATTAGTGTCCCAAACTAGTGCCCAAAATTTTGGCTCTAGTTTCGGGCATCTATGCACCCAAGACTGACATATGGGAACTAGTTTAACATAATTAGCCTAATTTAGCCAATTTTGATCAGTTTCATCTACTTGCTCCTCAAGTTGTCTAATCACATGTGCATTGTGTATACAATCACAAATACTATGAAAATCATATTACTCAATTTATTCAAATGAGAGTGAAACCCAAAATTATGATTGTGTAAATGATACATGTTATAGTGTTGGTAGCCATGATGACATGTATAGTGCACTGGAAAACAAATTTGCTTTTTTGATGCAACGATGCAGGTGGGTTGATGGGCTTGGTTCTATATGAACCGGTGATTATGAGCTCCATAGAATTGATGCTTTGGACTCACTCAAAATGAAAGAATGAGATGAGATAGTCTATTGTCTGCTTTTGGGTAAATTAAAGTCAAATGAGATAATAGATAAGACAGAAGCCAAAGATTTTGCCATCATTTTGCGAGGATTTATAAATCTGGGTTTCAAAGTTTGGGTATAAACCCTTTTATTTAATTACCTCTCACGATAATAGGAGAGCACTTTCGATCAAGCCAGTCATTAAGTGCTAATTTTCATAAGTATATGTTAACAATAGACTTAAATTTTAAATTATAAAATTATCACTATTAGCTTAGTATGAATGGTGAAAGAAATGTTGATGAACTCGATTAAGATCTCATGGTTCTGTTATCCTTAGTTGTAGTGGACCATAATTCAATTAGTTTGAGGAGGTAGTTAACCCAACTTGATAGAATGATCCATCTTAGCAACCATGAGTTGCTTACATGGGGTGAATGTTTGTTTAAGGGAACTAATTAAACTTGACCCTAGCCAAAAATGAGATTTGTACCTTTTCAGGTATACCCTATATTTAATGGCTAAAATAAACAAAGTCATTCAGAAAAATATAAGTAATAACTGTGACCATAATATAGTGGATCAAATTGGGTCAAACCACTTGCTGAGAGTGCTCTGATCGTAACTGCTTCATTATGGAGCCAATTAGCCAGACCATGCGAATGGAGGAAATGAGTCACCTCCTTACTACAACAAAATTAAGTGTTAATTTGGTAGTATAATTGATATGATATTTGTCTATTGTAAGCTTAGGTTAATCTTAGGTTTATCACTCTTAACAAATGGTAGCATTTTATAGGAAGAAAAGGTAAGAATGAATGTAATATGTAATCATTTAGCATGAATCACATTCTGAGATTATGATAGGTAACAGATAAATATGAAATACATTAGTCGCATTATTTAAACAAAAATGATTATAAAAACTAAATAAATAATAATTATTAAATTATTTGTGCATCAAATATAATAAATATTGATCATTGGCACACTCTTAAGCTCTACTAGGTGAGAAAAAGTCACTCCAATTAATAAATATTGCATTTTTTAATCATCGATTTCCTCACCAAAAAAGAAAATCTCTTGGAATAAAATGTTAAGCTTTGAAAAAAACACTTATGATAAATTGATTTGCCCGAGAGCTCATAAATCTCTGCAACATCAAAACCTCATTGTTCATGTTGTTGAGCTCCACTCCTAGATCATTGACAACTTCAAAATGATTAATTAAAGCAATGAATCTTTAAGTGAAGCTCTTAACTAGAATTATTTGAAGCTCACAAAAGAACTACACTTACATCTTGTACTTTCTACAACATGTTTATACTGGCAATATCACCATCAAAACTCTGCCTTTTTATGAACTTTTTTCTTTTTTATCATGGAGATAACTAGTTTACTTATATTTCAAAACCTAAGCATAACTGATAGTTTTGATGTATCCGCTTCTTTTTCTACGACTTATTAGCAATTATTGAGAATTTAAGCATTCTAAGAAAAAGGAGCAACATTTAAATTTTTTTTTAACAATTCTTATTTTCTTGAAATAGAAGTTAGCCCATATAATGAGCATAACAATATTCAAAGATTTAAAGTTGTGGGATGGAGAATAAATCTGTAGCTCTATTGAGTCACTCACTATTAATTGGTTTGCTGAAGAAATTTTCCTCCTCATAATGGCAACAAGTTATTCTAACAAATTGACCAACTTGTGTTTCCCTTGAACCATATGAGTGCCACTAGAAGATTCTCAAAGTCTCTTCATATATTTAGATAAAATTTCAATAACATTTTCTTTTCACATATTTTCATCAGTCTTCTCCTCCTCTATCTTTTTAAAGAATGGGGTAAAAGTTTACTCCCCATATTTCTTCCAAGCTTCTATTTCGTTATTTCATTGAACTAAAATTTTTAATGTCAATTCCATAAAGCTTTCAAGCATGATACATGAATCCAAGAACATAGAAGATGAAAAAATCCTCAGAAGGATCAAAGTATTTTATAGAATTCATTTACAAAAAAAAAAGGATAAAGAAACTTTTAAGTTCATAAATGATTGAAATTTGAGTAATTTGTCGACTCAATAAATAGATATTTCATTCATTCTTTTGTTCTATATATTCAAAACCCTCCAAAAATTCAAGAAAGTTAAACAAAAAAGAAAACAAGTTAATGCAGGTTATATTAAGCCAAACAGAACAAATTCGGACTAAATCAATTTCGGCCGAATCAAACAGATCAAAATTCATTAGAAAACACAATCTCTTACACCTGTGACCCACGTGGAAATCGCCTAACATTCGCCCCGAACTGACCAAGCCAGGTCCTCTATAGTTGCCGCCACGTTATCCTCGTCTCAACTTACCTGTCCGCCAGGCACCATCGGATAATCACCACATGCTTGGAATCCACCGGCCTACGCCGCCACTTAAAACATACTCCCGACCGCTGTCAATATAATTTAAAAAAAAATTCTACAGTCTCCAAATCCCAACGGCTACTTTCCTACCAGAGACTTCGATTGATCCACGCGTCATCAAGATTCGAACCCGTATAATAATCCAGCGTCAATTTCACGCTGCGTCTGGACCGGACGCGGTGATATCACTCGCATGGAACATTCTGGCTTCCGTGTTCGAACCTCCGAGGGTAACATAGTAGTTTCGTCGTCAAACTAGTTTTATATTCTTAATTACTTTTTTGAATGCTATATATTTTCGGTCGAACTCGGTCGTAGTGGACCGAGGGGATTTGCTCTTTCGAAGAGGACCAACTCTGTAGTAGTCTTTTCTTAGGTAACTCCCGGATTCTTCAGTGCTCGCTCCATTGTTCTGTAAAAGCTTCTTCCTTTAAGTTTTTGCTATTCTATTTCCTACGTATTTGCTTACTCACGCTCAATTTCATATGGCCACTTTTGTTACACAGCGGTGACAAGGAGTCCGAGAGTTCTTCGTTCCGATTTGTTTATTATAAATGGCAATAGGAATTGAAAATGACAACGGTACAAAATCCCTTGTGGGGATCTGTAAACCTGGCAGGAGGAGGCATTGGTGCAGAAATGCCCCAAATTTGAAAAGATTCAATGAGGGATTGATTCATGGAGTAGAAGTATCAAGTTTTCTTGAATCGTTGCCCCAAGATATTGTGGTAAATTTATTGATGAGAATTATGTTGTTCTAAAGTTAGAGCTTGGCATTTTTCAAATACTTACCTTAATTTCTGCAGGTTAATATTCTGACAAAATTGAGACATGGTGACTTGAAGCATAGCCTCTTGGTCTCCAAATTTATAAGTGAAGCAGTGAGTCCTTATAGAGACTTGAAGAAATATTGAATTTTGAATTCTCTTGCCTTAGCATATGTACTCCTTTTGTTTAATTTCCTTTTATTTATATCCATATCCAGGCATTAGTTGCAAGGAAAACACATTTTCTGTACACTACTCCAGCAACAAAGCCTGCCTTTAGTAGAAACTTGGAGCTAAGTGATTCAGAGATTTCAAGAGCTCCAAAAGCTTTGGAGCAAATGAGAGCTAAGAAACAGAAAGCCAAAAGATTTCAGTGCAATGGGAGAAGGCTTTCAAGCATTTTTGCACTTCTATGAAAAGAAAAAGAAGAAAAAAAAAGAGAAGGAATAATGCGCAGATAAATTCCGGGCATGATGTATAGTTTATATAACTGCTTTTTATTGTGCCCTGTGAAGAATTCGTATTATAATCGACAGTAGGATCACTTCAATACTTGAATTGAAGAAAATTAGGTGAAAATGTATTTTTCAAATGTTTTTTTTCTTACATATTTTCCTTAATGGAAAATTTCTAGGAATGATTTTAAAAATGTGATTCTACGATGTCATAATTATGTATGAATATAATAGTTTCATGTTTTTTGAGCCAAAAACTTGCCATATTTAACATTTGAAGCTTCTTTACTTGTTACATTCTCTAATGTTTTCCTTGCTTGGAATTGAAGCAGTTTTTTTTTTTTTTTTTTGTTCAGTCTAACTGCTTATTCCAACTTCAAGTTCTCTGTTTGGTAAGAAAAACTCTCATAAGTTTGAACCATCCTTTCCTTAAATTTGCATTCCT